TTTTTTTTTTTTTGTATATATCTGTCGATTTATGATGAGTAGGATATGTCAGAAGAGTATTATGAACGAGATCTAGGCTATGTGCTGCAAAGTTTTGGCTTTTACAAACTGCGATCTTGAAAAAAAATTCCGAAATGGAGTAAAGATGCGATTTTCAGAAAAGAACGAAGTCCAGTTTCTGAGAATATACCAACCTCCGAATATGCCTAACGCAATATTGGTAGGCTTCGCAAGATTCAGTTTTCAAAAAAAAATTTGCGAGATAGAATGGAAATGCGATTTTCAGAAAAGAAAAATTCCGGGAATATGACCACTTCTATCGTTATCCCAATATGCCTAGAGAGCGAAAATACTAACTTCAGAAATTTTAGCTATGTATGCGAAATATGAGAGAAACGAATTGCTACTATCGGGAATTTTCAGACAAAACGAAATGCGATTTATCAGAAATTTCCAGGTATTTGTCACGTAAAAACGAACTACTAATATCAGAAATTTCAGATAGTTGTTGCGAGAAAAAAATTTCAGAGATTTGAAATTTCAGAGATTTGACTAAGTCCTACTTGCGTTACTATGAGTGATCAATAGATCGCAAGCTGGCTACTTGATTGAGCAGGTCCTCTGAATGAGAGGTCCGCTCCGATACCAAACTGTTGCTTACTGTAACGTGCAGACCAGAACAAGAACCGACCTTTCAATACAAAGTACAAGATAACACAGCGGAAGACTTGGATACCAGTGATCTGACCAATCAATGTTGTAATGCAGCCCTGAACATACATCATCATCATCGTTACATGGTGTGAAGGGGTCTGGCGCTTCACACAGGAAGACAGCGCCAGCCCATACCATACACAGACGAAGAGGAAGGGGATAGACGAAGAGGAGGGAGAAGATGGGAATGTCGTCAACACCAAGTCTTTGGCACAGGCCCAAATAGTCCCTCGTCGAAATGTCTGAATCCCAAATGTCAAGTCTGGATCCAATGTCGTCAAGTCTCAAGTCACAACTCTGTCTCTCTCTGTCATAGTCTGAGAAGTCAGGTGGCGAGAGGGTAAGAAGAGAAGGTGGACTTAGAAGAGGAAGAAGAAGAACTCTCTCTCTCTCTGTGTCCAGTACTAACCTGTGAAGTTGGCGCCTTGATGCAGGTACCACGAAGATGGAGCTGGAGCGATGGCGCCACAGGTAAGTATCACTGGCCTCCGCCAGTCTCTCTCCCACTCTGCGATCTACCACCTACTAGCGCCCAGCGCTGAAGACTACAGCTACAGCTATGGCGCCCAGCGCCRAAGACTACAGCTAGCGCTAAATAACACCTAGCGCTGAAGACTACTGCAGCGCTCCTCCTGAGTGCTGCGGCCGAATTCCTGAAGACTACCTCGTGCCTACTGACTACCTACCTGTGAAGTGCATGGGAACTTCMTATGTACTACGGGTGTGCCTCCTGAGCCTGCCGAAGGGAGGCAGGGGCTGCAGCTGCAGCTCCTGCTCAAACTCGTGAGGAACAGGCTATTTCTGGCCTGTTCCGCATCCCTGTTTACGTGCCTGAGTCTTAGGGGCAGGTCGAAACAATGAGGGCCTGAAAATGGCCCTCCGTTTCAGGCTGAAAACTCTGGGTCTGAAAAGACCCAGAAATAGGCTGAAACGRGGTAGGGCCTGCARGCCCTCGTTTTTCAGCWTYCAGGCTGAAATGAACGGGGCCTGTAAGCCCTAAGTTTTAGGCTTTTAGGCTGAATGTCCGGGACGGGCCCTGCAGGGCCCGTGTGGCTACGCAGTATGCCACATCATGATTGCGTCCGTACATTGTTGTTCTCATCCAATCCGACACCAAAGATCGCAGTGGCCTTTTTTTTTTCTTCTTTCGTTTGCGCGTAAGTGCCATTCAGGACATCATGGGTTCGATCCCCATGATCGCCTGCGGTGCACTTAGTTCCAACCACCTAAAAGAGATGCCTTTCACGATTGTAAGAGTACTCGAATTGCTTACTCTTACAAAGTTGCCATAAAGCTGTACAAATCCCGAAGGCACCGTCCAGTGACGAATTCAAAAGCATGATTGCTTTCGTACACTGTTTGTTTTTTTTTCCAACCAAGCTACATTCTCTCAATTTTCACCTCACACTACCTACCTACCACGGCCTACCTCAGTTGGTAAGGCTCGCAAGTGGCATTCAGGAGGTCATAGGGTCAATCCGCATTGGCCTCATGTTATTTCCTGCGCATGCTTGGCGCCCACCACCTGGAGATAGACCACTGGATCCCCCGATCAGCATTGAGCACAGTCTGCTGGTGTTCGTAGGGGAGGGGACCTGAGGGGGGGCACAGGGATTGGTCCTGTTGGCGTGGTCCCTGATGCCACCGGCTGTCCCCTGGTCGGTATCGCCCACCTGCAGGTCGGGAGCAGCCCCCGCATGTTCTCTCA